ATTTGAAACTAATTTAGTTTGGTAGTGTCGTTTGTTTGTTTATTTGTAACTTTGTAAAGTTACAAAGCACAGTTACTGGCACTTTTGGTTGGTTTGTTATTTCTATTTTTAAATCCATCTTATATTTTTGTTGGGACTCTTTGTACTTCTGAAAAAGTACCCTCCTTTTGTTAAAAGTTGTTCATTAGATCACGCCTGTCTTACAAATAAACCATTGTTCATATTTTAACCAATTCCATCTGGTTTCTTAATGTTACTTCCTTTTTCCCTGACTGAGCCGGGTCGTAACACAGTTACAGACAATCTGTTCACGTGAGCAGCTGTCAGTCAGCACCTGTCAACCTCCAGACGCAGGACGGAGCGTGTCTGAACTGATCACTTTTGTTGACATTGATCAGCTGACTGATTTAAATGCATCTTAACATTCATGAGGTACTTTACATTGACTTTAATTACATTAAAGGAAAGATGCGCAGAAACATGTGTACGTACTGTTTTATAAATCTGAATTTTTTTTTGGCGTACGCCATTTCSGCCTTTTGGCCGTACGTTCACTTTTAGTATGGTTTCCACGCAATCCTTTATAAATGAGACCCCAGGTACCCAGAAAGGAGAAGCTGGTAAAGAAATGGATGCATAGAAGATTATTCATAAAGGGATTGATGTAGATTAGCAAGTGCAAACAGAATTAGCAGCAGCTAGCTGCAGCTCAGACCACTACCAGCTGGAATACCACAATATGTTTACCAAACTAATCGTTTACTGTCAAACTGACAACAGTGTGCGGGTTTAAAAAATGGCGTTTGCAAAAACTGTTTTAAAAAGTTTACGATTGTAGAGGTTTCGAACAACATTCTTAGGTCTGGGCCAAAGATGGGTCACTTCCAAAGTGAGTCACTGCCAACTTAAAACAGGTCCAGTTTTTAAATTTCATAGCACAAATGCTATTGTTTAAACCTTTACACCATCAATTTCACACAATAGTTATTTTGGTAGACATTTTTATGGTAATCCTGCAGGATGTATTGGGAGAACTACAGCTAGCTGCTGCTGCTATTTGTGTTTGCAAATTACCACACAATTCTATCTAAAGAATCATCCATCCATCATCTATAACCGCTTCTTCCTTTCAGGGTCACTGGTGCCCATATGTGTGAGGGGCGGGGTTAACCTGGACAGGTCCCCAGTCCATCACAGAGACACAGAGACAAACGAGACAAACAAGCATTCAATCTATCTCCCACGCACACCTAGGGACAATTTAGAAATTTTAGAGTTATCAATTAACCTAACAGTCATGTGTTTGATCTGTGGGAGGCAGCCAGAGTACCTGGAGAAAACCCACGCATGCATGGAGAGAACATGCAAACTCTACCCAGAAAGGTTCCCAGGCTGGAATTCAATCCAGCAACCTTCTTGGTGAGAGGCATCAACTCTACCAAATGAGCCACGGCTGCACAAATAATCACATGATGTGAAATAACCAGTGATGTATCGGTTTATAAAACAGTGTGAATGAACTGCAATGAATTTTTAGGTTTGATGTTTTAAGACAAAGTAACCAGCTTTGTTCTTAGTCCTGCTTTGACACTAGCCATTAGCTCATCAATGCAGCCAAAATCAAACTCTTTCTCCTAACTATTAAAGAAGCCATCAACGACAAGTTATTAATCTTTCATAACTTTTCCACAGAACCCCACTTCAAAAGATCTAAGCTACACATTTGAAGGCTTGTTTGTTGTTTTCTTCTATGTGATGTCTAAAATATGAATTTAACCTGAAGGTGAACTGTATAATCACAGCCTCTTTTCAATCATGCTGTTGAAAGCAGAAATGCTCACACTGCCTTTATTTAACAACAGAAAACATGCACCTGAATCAACCTGAGCCCCGACTAAACAAGAGACTAAAATACTGTCAGAGCTTCCTCACAGCGCTCCGTGGATCAGTCTGTGCCTGAACGAATGCTTCTTTTTGGTTCTGTGTGGCCTCGACCCAACATGCAGGAGAAACGGGAGGGATGTTGAACTCACAATACAGTTTGAGTTTTCAGATTTTAATTCTTGTTGCCGTCCAGGGTCTTTTCAGCCAACGTTGACTGGGCACAATTTGGCGCAGGATCCACTCAACAGACAGACAAGTACTAACGTATAAAATGTTGAACGTGAGCAAATCTCTAACAGAACTCTTTACTGTTTGATCCTAGACAAACTTTTGCTGGTGATTCTTTTAAAAATATAAAGTTCTTGTTCATTCTCAGCAGAGAAAGAAAAAAAGCGGTGATTATGATTTACCTTCACCAATGTTCTACCTTGGAGGGAAATAAGCTTCTCTGACATGCTAAAGGTCCAGGTGTGTGTATACACACACAAATCAGACAGAGTCCACCTTCCACCCATCAGAATCACGAGCGTTGTCTCCTCCAAAAGCTCAATCTACTTCTTCATTTTGAGGTCGGCCTCCATGGCGCTGCGGCGGCCCCTGGTTCCTCCGTCCTGCAGCAGAAACACAGACGAGCACAGACAGGGAGAAGCACTCGTCATGACAGGTCAGAGTTCAGCTGAACAGAATGCAGAGACCCTTGCCATGGGATTGAGTTCTGCACAAAGACACAGCACAGTCCACCTCAGAGGGCTTCCTCCTTGAATGAAAGGCAAAATGAAAAATAACGATGACCAAAAACATAAAGCAAAACACTGGGGAGATTTAGAAAAGAAAAGGAGGAGGAAATAAATTAGAACATGCAGAAACATGAACAACAACACAGAAACAAAAAAAAACAAAAATAAAAAACACAGGAAACCAGCACGAGCTCATTAAACGAAGGGCAACGTAAGTTTGGGTGATAAAAGGAGTCTGTGTGTGTGTGAGGAGTAAAATACCGAGCCCGTAAGGGGACATGGGGGAAATAAAAACAAAAACGGATCCTGACTTACTTTCTCAGGATCCCGAGAAAACGTCGGGATACTGAGAAAAAAAGTCAGGATCCTGAGGAAAAAAGATGGGATCCTGAGAAAAAAAAAGTCGGGATCCTGAGAAAAAAAAAGTCGGGATCCTGAGGAAAAAAAGATGGGATCCTGAGAAAAAAATAATCGGGATCCTGAGGAAAAAAATGTCGGGATCCTGAGAAAAAAAATGTCGGGATCCTGAGAAAGTTTCTCAGTGTGCCCGCTCGTGCTCCGTATCATTTCAAACTTTAATAAACTGTTCTCTGTGGTGTAATAAACATTTTAAAGAGTAATAAACATTTCCTGAATGTTTCACATAAATCCATTTGGTTCTTTTTGAGGTTTAATCATGAGAAGGCAGCTGGCTAGCTTTAGCAAAACTACCCTGTTGTCCGGGAAACTGTAACATCTGGTTACGCTGGGTGGTTGTGAGTAATGAAGTTCAAAGTTGGACTGTGAGTCGGGCTGACCCACATCCCGGGTGAGGAGATAAATCTACTTAGTCTTAATGCATATCAGCCATAAAAATGATTGATAAGTGCCTTCCAAGCTAAGAGGTAGAGGAGGGACCATCTGAACAGAATGTGTGGGACTAATAACCTCTAATAACGTTCATTTAAGTAAGTCAGGATCCTGAGAAAGTTTCTCAGGATCCTGACTTTTCCTCAGGATCCCTACTTTTCTTTCTCAGGATCTCGACTTTCTTTCTCAGTATCCTGACTTTTTTTCTCAGGATCCCGACATTTTTTCTCAGGATCCCGACTTTCTTTCTCAGGATCCCAACTTTGTTGTATCGGGATCCTGAGAAAGTAAGTCAGAATCCTGAGAAACTTTCTCAGAATCCCTTTTTTTCTTAGGATCCCGACACTTTTTTCAGGATCCCGACTTTTCTTTCTCAGGATCCCGACTTTTTTTTTCTCAGGATCCCGACTTTTTTTTCTCAGGATCCCGACTTTTTTTTCTCAGGATCCCGACATTTTTTTCTCAGGATCCCGAGAAAAAAATGTCGGGATCCTGAAAAACTTTCTCTGGATCTCAACTTTTTTTCTCAGGATCCCGACTTTTTTTCAGGATCCCAACTTTTCTTTCTTAGGAACACGACTTTTTTTCTCAGGATCCCGACTTTTTTTTCAGGATCCCGACTTTCTTTCCCAAGATCCCAACTTTCTTTCTCACGATCCTGACTTTTTTCTCAGGATCCCGACTTTTTTTCTCAGGATCCCAACTTTCTTTCTCGGTATCCTGAGAAAGTGAGTCAGGATCCGTTTTTTTCCCCAAGTCCCCTTACGGGCTCCGTAGTAGAGTGTGTGCAGACAGGTTCAAATATATATGGTGTGTGTGTGAGAGAGGAGGTCCTTCTGATGTGCGCCTCAGTGAAGCTGTTAAACCTGCTTTCCAATGATTGAAAACCCCTTAAAGTTTGACAACAAGATTCTTTAATTCTTGACTAGAATCAAAAAGATGACGTGATAAACAAACCAACTAACCTATTAGCTTCACTGTAACCGTGTGGTTTAATCTCACAGTGGTAAAAATAAACTGAAAGATGAAGATAATCAAATAAAATAAAAACCAGCGGTGCAGACAGTGAGTGGCTTCATGAGTGTGAATGATGTTTGCATTGAGACGGGCCTGGTTCTGGGGAGAGCTGAGGGAGAACCTGAATACTTACAAAGAGAGAGAGAAGGAAAGCAGGAGAGGCCATTGGGACACTGTCCTGTAGGAGGACAAACATCGGAGTGAGAAAGAGAAAGCTAAGACACAAACGGGCGTGAGAAAGCAAGTTTTATACGAGTTAAGAGTCAAACATCAGGAGGACGCTGACAGGACTCATCACAACACACACACACGTAAGTGCTAACACACATCTTTTTTAGCACCAAAGTGCAGAAGAGAAATTACAAAAACCTGATACAAACATACAGTATAATGTAAGAATGTAATGACAGGCTGCTTACAAACATAATCCAATTTTCTGCTTTGACCAACTCAGCAGGTGATGTGCCAGTCTGACACACAGTCTGTTTTTATTCTGGTCTGTGAACGCCTCACGGCTAAGGCTCAGTTCACACTGTGTGATGGTAACAATACACTCTCCATAACCTAGCAAACATTTTAGTTTGGAAGTTCAATGCTTTTTGAGACTCAAATATTCATAACTTTTTATAAATTTGTTTACAACTAAACATTTGTTAATTTATTTGTACATGTGTACACCGCCTGGTCAAAGAAAAGGTCAACATCTGGATTTACCTAAGCAAACAGTAAGATTCGATAACTACTGCATGAGTGATTATTTTTCATCTGGGAACAAGTTATTTAACCCTAACTGATTAGCTTCTCATTGGTGAAACAACCAAGATGATAGACACATCTTGTGGTCATGGAAAAGATAATCTGCTTCAGAAGGGTCGATGTGTCGGCATCAAGCAGAGAAAACATCTAGAGATTGTTGAAACAAATAAAAATCGGGTAAAGAACTGTCCATCGCATTTTTAAAATCTAGAAGAACAGTGGGGGAAACATCATCTTTGAGGAAGGCATGTCATCAGAAAAAAATCCTGAATAATCATTGGCTTAAACATTTGGTGAAACCAAATTGCAGAAAGACAACAGTAGAACTCAGAGCTATGTTTAATAGTGAAGGAGCATTTGCACATGCACAACGTAGGGTTTGGGAATAATTTGTTGCTATATAAATAAACGGAATTGAAGCACTGGATCATGTGGTCTGATGAGTCCAGATCGACCCGGTTCCAGAGTGATGGGCGAATCAGGGTAACCCATCATGCCTAGTGTCTACTGTACAAGTCTGTGTGCTATGATGTGGGGTTGCTACAGTTGGTCAGGTCTAGGTTCAGCAACATTAGGTCAAAGAATGAGGCCAGCTGACTACCTAAATACACTGAATGACCTATCAGTGATTTTTTTTCTTTCCTGGTGGAAGGCCATGTTCCAAGATGATAATGCCAGGATTCATCCTGTAGTAGCTGAGTCATTCTCAATACACAATCTAAGCACTAACAAATTGTGCGAGATCTTTGTTTAAAACTTCTGCAAGTCATTGTCATTTGTTGTACATTGTCTAATAAATAACTGAGTTTGACCAAAGCAACTTATATGCCACATAGCTTTTCCTGCTGTTTTCTGTGCACTTGAGACACTCACTGCATTCTCTACTCCCACCCTGGTACAACAGTTTTGGACCACATCGGGAAGCAGCTATTCATAAAAGATCAGAGTGAAGTTACAAACACAGGTCTGATGTCAGCTTTAGCTGCTTCAAAGACCTGGTCACAATCACCCAGGCGTGAGGTCAGAGTGACCTGTCTCAAGTTCTTCATGACCAAAGCCTCGCTGGTTCATAAGTGGCCCACACCATGGGCATGCATCCACCACTGCCCCAAAGCTCCACCTAGAACCCAGATATCCTGCCACCAGATTAAACCTCACTAAAGAAGTTTTGTTCTCAAAACTATTTTGTACCATAGTTTAATTCAAAGTAATATGGAGCAATAATACTCATCAGAAGACCTCTGCAAGTCCCTGAAAAGACCATCCACAAACTGGAAACTGGAACCAGTACATTAAGAATATACAAAAACAAAAATGCTAACATTGCTTTCTCCAACAGACTAACAGTTTTAAAGTCCTAAAGCAGTTTTGACTGGATCAGATCAAGTCCACAATGCAGAAACAAAATAAAATTAACTTTAGGTATAAAACCAAATATATTCTGTAACAAAATAGGCTGAAGTATTTTACTTCATGATCTCCAAGGAAACTTGAGATTTTCTGTCTTAACTCGAGTGAAATACGTTTACCAGAAGTTATGACACCAAATAGAGCATTTTATCTATTATTAAATCTATTGTAATTTACTTGATCAGTATTAATATGCAGATACAGTAAGCGCGCGCGCGCACACACACACACACACACAC